CCCATACTGGATTTGAAGGACCTCAACAGGTGTATACGGGTGTCTTTCTTCCGAATGGAATCACTTCAGTCGATTCTGCCATCCATTCGTCTCCAGGATTGGATGACCTCAGTGGATCTCTCAGACGTCTACTTCCACGTGCCCGTCCATGCCAGTTTTCAGAAGTACCTGCGCTTTGCCATCATGGGAGCACATTTCCAGTTCGTGTGCCTTCCATTCGGCATTTCCACGGCTCCTCGTACCTTCACCAAGCTACTACTACCACTCATTGCTCATGCCAGGCTGCAGGGCATTCAAGTTTTCCATTATCTGGACGACATCCTGCTTTTGTCCCAATCTTCCGCAGTTTTCTTGCAGCATCAGCAACTGCTTCTCGCCCTGCTGCAGCGCTTGGGTTGGTTGATCAACCTCGTGAAGTCTCAGTTAAACCCCTCACAACAACTGGTGTTTCTGGGCACCCTCCTAGACACACGGAACTCCATCTCTCTCCCTCAAGACAAAGTCGCCACCCTACGGCACAGGGTTCTTCAGGTGATAGTTACCATGGATGAGTGCACGCAAATGCCTGAGCCTTCTGGGCACCCTCTCTTCTACCATTCTGATCGTCCGATGGGCCCATTGCAGATTGAGGATATTCCAGTTTTACTTCCTAAAGCAGTGGAACAGAGCGGATCTTTGCCAGCTGATTTTCATCACCCCAGACATGAAGCAGTCCCTCACCTCATCTGTCCCCCACAGCCGGTGGCGATCACCTCGGATGCGAGCCTCCATGGTTGGGGTGCACACTGCCAGGGCCTAGCGGCACAGGGCATGTGGTCTTTTCCATCTCGGGGTCTGCCCTCGAACATACTGGAAGTGAGAGCAGCTTTCAAGGGCCTCCTGACCTTTTCTTCCCTGATTCGCAGTCATTTTGTTCAACTCCAGATAGACAACCGAACAGCAGTGGCTTACATTCAGAACCAGGGGGGCACGCACAGTCGTGCCCCCTACATCGGCTAGGCGGGTTTCCGAGCTGCACGCTCTTACTGTCACAGAACCATTCTGCACGTTCTTCCCTGACAGGGTCGTTTTGAGAACTCACCCTTCCTTCCATCCAAAGGTTACCCCCTCGTTCCATCTCGATCCAGAAATCATTCTACTGACTCTTATGGATGATGGAGGTGCGCCACATGCACTTGATGTATCCAGCACTCTACAGGCATATATTGGTGCAACACAACCGTTTTGCCTGGCGGATAATCTCCTTGTCATCCCCTGGGGATGCAAAAAGGGTTGCACAGCCTCTGTGCGCGCTATAGCAGCGTGGTTGGTGAAAAGCATACTCCAATCGGGGTCTTCATCCACCTGAGGAGATAAGGGCGCATTCCACGAAGGGCATGGCAGCTTCCTGGGCAGCCTACAAAAAAGTTTCCGCTGAGGCGATCTGCAGAGCAGCTTCCTGGTCCTCCAGGAATACATTCATCAACCATTATAGAGTGGACCCAGCACTCCTTACCACTGTGAATTTTGGGAGGAGCATTCTTACCTCTGGCTGTTCAAGTCGCTAAATACATTTTTTTTCTGGCATTACCCTCCCTGTGTGATCACTAATTTGCATGGTGTGCTGTCGAGATGCGCCAGGAAAACAGAAAATTGTATACTTACCGTCCGTAATTTTCCTTTCCTGGTGCATCGAATGCACCCCACATGCATGAGTACAACCCTTCAAGCTGGTGGGGGCAGTGTTATGGTTTGGGGCATGTTTTCCTGGCATGATTTGGGCCCTTTAATTCGTGTGGAACAACGTCTGAATAGTACAACATACCAATGTACCGTTGCTGAACAAGTTCATCCTATCATGTTGATGGCGTATTCCAATGGAGATGGCTTCTTCCAACAAGACAATGTGCCATGCCACGGTGCTCGTATTGTGCAGGAGTGTTTTCAAGAACATGAGGGAGACTTTACCTTGCTTCGGTGGCCCCCACAATCACCAGATCTCAATCCAATTGAGCATTTGTAGGAGGAAGTTGAAAGAGCCATCAGGCAGCTGGTTCCACAACCATCATATCTCACAGAACTGGACAGTGCTATTCATCAGGCATGGTGTCGGATTCCTCGCATCACCTTTCAACATCTCATGGAGTCAATGCCAAGAAGAATCGCCGCAGTATTGAAGGCAAAAGGTGGCCCAACGAAGTACTGATGGGGTGGTCATAATAATATGGCCACTCAGTGTATATATATACACACACGCACAAGGCCTGGAGGAGTTGTGTAAACGCCTCTAGTATGGAACTTCTGGGTTGTCATCTGAATAGCATCTCCCTGCCTTTCTCATCCTAAAGTACGAAGAGGAATCTGCATACAGTGATGTCACCTTATGTTGGGCTATGATGTTCAGATTGCAGTGCAGGCAGGATGCTTGTCTGCCCAGGTGACTGCCTTTGCAGTGGTGTTGAAGTCCTCCAGGTATTTTGTAAAGGCAAAGTTCCAACTTCTGCAAGACACAAGGGAGTGGGACAAGAATCCAGAAAAGGTCAAGGAGAGCTGCTGTCATGAGAAAAATATCAAGTATGTACACATTATAGGGTTATATGCCCTGTTAAGAATGAACATTGGTTTACATTACATTTTGTCTTTATGCAAAAAGAAATATAGAAGTAAAATATCCTATGTTACTGCTTGCTTACATTAAAAAACACCCATCCTCCAAGTGCTCAATACCGCAGCCATGAAGTGGAGTTCACATATGTGTGTCCAGGTATTCTAAAGGGATGACTACTTCAATTATTGCAGAATAGAGTGCAGTGTCTATACATACAGTATATGTGTAACAGGTGAACAAGAGGGAGAGAACCAATATAAGCAAGACGCCACAGAGAAATTAGTCATTTACACATTGCACTTGCCTCCACCAAATCTGCAAAACAGAACTTCCTCGAGTTTTTCTGTGGCTGTTCTTCTGTTACATATGTCTAAAACACTTGGGCCCTCAAAAACCCTAGGTTATGGAAAAGAACCCTTATAATTTTATGTTGCTAAAGAAGAACTCGGGAAAGAAAAAGAAAACTTACCCTTGCAGTAGGGCTATCCCCACACTGCAAGGGTTAAGTGCTTGTTTTGGTCTAGGGGGGCTCAAAGAAGATGGTCATCTGATCCTCTGTCCCTGCAGGCTGTTAAACCAGTGCCCTCAGCCTCTTCTCCCCTGGGCTCCAGCGGTCAAAGGACTGCTGGTGTCATCACATCTTAGAGCCCATTCACACCAGGGCAGTTGTGGATCAGCAAACAAAGTGCTGAACAAATCAAATCAATCATAAGTGAAAAAGGCCATTTATCATGAACAAAGTGTTAATCAACCTATCCTATGTGATTGAAATAAGTGAATATTGATTAAGTGTTTCGTGTAAAAGACTATAAGTAATGTGTCTTTATGATGAAAGCAAAATGCAATTTCCGTGAGTTATTGTGAAAAAATTCCAATAAAAGAAGTTTGTGAAAACAACAAAAAGTCTCTGTGGTGTTTCAATCTGTTCCAAGTGAAGAAGAAATATAACGAAATATTCCAAATGTTCGGTGATATACACGCAATCCTTATTCTGGGGAATGTATTGAGATCAATACATATCCCCTAAAAGTGACTACTCACCACAGGTATCCGGCTGTAACAGACAGCCCCACACGTTTATATTTACAGGAGTAGTTGGTCCGGTGTATTTTGCCGGCACCTTCTCTACCGTCAGTTTTTCAGATAAAGGATATCCATTTAAGGATATTAAAAAACATCTCGCCTGTCATGCATTAGATGAAAGTCCCATCTCAGCTGCTGGTCGGAGATTGCTATCAGGATAGGGAGAAAGCAGAGTCCAGTTCAGTCCAGAAAGATCCCAGGACGCCTGTGCTGGAAGACACAGGTCTGATCCAGTGGCTGAGCACTGCTGTGGCTGGTTCTCCTCAAAGCAGGGTCACAGCTGCTGAGTACTTCCGGGTCGTCAGGTGTTGTCAAGCCTTGACAAAGGAGGTGAACCTCTGAAACGCGTTGCCTAGCAACACCTGACGACCCGGAAGTACTCAGCTATATATGATATTCATTGTTTGATTTACAATATTCACTTTAATTAGCACTGTTTATTTTTAATATTTATTCATTTGACCCTAGGGGTCTATATCACAGCAGCTTTTGAGTAATCATTGTTTAACACTTCACTCCCTCGATTGGGATTGGTGTAGATTTATTTTGATTTGTAGCGTTGCTCATCTAGTTAATACCAGTTGTGGATCAGCGCAGATCTCGCAAGGGAGGTTTTGGGAGTTTTTAATTGCGTTTCAGCACTGAAACTGATCAGCGCGCTTTCATTGAAACTTGTATGGAAACGGCACTGATCAGTGCGGCAAAAATAGTGCAGGGAGCAGTTTGGGCAGGGGGAATTGGGATTGTAGTATAACACACTTGCAGTTAAATAATTTAATAATACATCAGACCAACAAGAAAGACAACTGAGGAGTAAATGGTGTCAGAGGGATTTGGGTCCCAATGAGGGACAGAGGCAAGGTTTTTGCACCCCTTTTCTTAGAACACTATCCCATCTTTCTCCACTGGTGACCATTTACTACAAGATGCCATTTTCTACAATCTGTATTCACCTAAACATGAACACTTAACTGAGTTAAACGTTCATATTTATCCTGTCGGAGATGCCACAGGAATATAACGTACAGTAAACTTTGCCAGCATTTCATATTTGTAAATGCACCGAATTCATTTAGAAGTGTTACTAAGACCCTTAATGGGTTACCTATAAGTGTTGCTTAAGATAACACCATTTCATTTAAGTGATTAACTTAAGCATGTGGTTAATGTCTGTATAGGGTCATTTCACACCTGCAGAGTTTCCCAGTTGTGCCCTTCACACGGGTAGTTGAGATTGGGCCACGTTTACTTACACTTCGCAGCACATAGGTTGTTGGCTTGCAGTCTGTATTTCTTTGTCAGACGGCTCTCAGCCTGCTCGCTCGTTGTCATGGCTGGGCTAAACATAGTGGTAGGCTTCTTCATATCTGTGGTTGCACTGTCTCAGCTAATTCGCTGGATAACTAAGAAATATCTCCCTGTCAGGATTTACAGATGCACAATCAGCGAGCTAGCCAGCTCTTTGCAGCTGTGTGCCTGCTACATGGAGCTCCGCATGTTATTGGAGATTGGCATGTGGGGTGGAGGTTATGGCCCTGACGTGGTCTCCACTCTTCTCTTCCTGCTGTTTTTAGCTCATGGGTTTACCTTTGATGGAGCATCAGCCAACCCTACTGTATCTGTCCAGGAGTTTCTGCTCCGGGAGGGCCCTTTCATAGACACAATAGTTAAACTGTTATCTCAGTATGTAGGTATGGAGGCTGCTAGGTTCCTGACCAAACAGTATTGGATGCTGGAGTTAACAGATTTCCACACAATTCAAGTAATGATGGCAGATGATTGCAGTCCATCTCTACAAATCTCTGCAGCTCAGGGCGTCTTTGTCGAGGCATTATGTGCCTTCTGCTATCATTTGGTACTTTTCCGCTTCCAAAACTCAAGACCGGTCTACAGGATACCAACAGTAGCTCTTACTGTAACTTTATTGGCATATGCAGGTAAGAAGTCAATGTCTGTTTTCTTTAAATTGTCAAATTATAGTATCCTAAGGGCCTGTGTTGATGGACTTTAAGCTTGTGTTGATGGAATCAGTTTGAGATGCTTTCGAGATCATTCAGAATTTGAAGGGCGCATTTGACCTTCAGGTGACCTCCTTACCTTTTTAGATGACCTGCTTCAAGCAATGTTTGCATTCCCAATGTGACTAAAAAAAAAAGCCCATCAACCCAGGACCTATTGCATACCCAAGCTAAGCACTTGTAAGAAAAGCCTATGATTGAAGCTACCTTCTTAAATCAAAAGTGTGTGAGACAAATAGCTTGATAGATTCACTTTTGAAAGATTGTCGTCTTAGATACAATTTAACCTTTGAAGTTGAAATACAGATATGGAAAACAGTTTTACTTGCTGAAGGATTTACAATTGTGTGCCGCCACTTTTGTGTTTCATTTTCTTTGTTACAGTTAAGCAATATAGCTTGGCCACCAACTTGTAACTAGGTAAAGTCAAAACAGCAAACTGAGTATGAGTGCTACACAACTTAGTTGTAACTTCACCCTGCACCCCATAAAATGTAGTCATACATGATTTATTTAGATGTTTCATTCATTACCATTAAAGCTGATCCTTCCATATTTTTTATGTGTAAGTACTTACGATTTTGTTTGCATTTACTAGTGAGTGATTGTTTAATGTTAAAAGAAAACTTTCAGTGTTTACTGCATGCAGTGTTTCTCTCCCAAAGCTGGTGTGTGCAGCACTGTGTATTTGTAGGACTATCCATTACAAAATGATAGGGTGATCCCAGCAGCTTTTTGCTCTGTATATGTATGGGCTGCACGTGTGTACAGAGTAAAAGTAGGCCCACTTTGACAGCAGGTAGAAATTGGCCATTAGTTCGCTGATACTGGTCACTGTAAAGCTGGCCAATTTCTATCTAGCATTCACTTTTAGTGAGGGAGAATTGGCTGAAATGTGCCAGAGACAAAGAATAAAGGCAGGTGTTTTACCACAGCTATTAAGAAACCACAAATGACACAACAGTGTAAAATTGGCCAGCAGGGGGATGCATTTAATGAGCAAGGCTAGGCCAAAATTTAATAGAGACAAGTGCAATGGCATAGGCTTTACTACAAAAAATAAAATACTACAGTGGATATAGCAGTTTAAACTGGCAAGTAGCAGAATAGTTTTAATCAAGAATAATAGGTCTAACCAATGTATGCCTAACTTTTATTTTTACTGTGTGGATGGGGGGTGTGGTGAATCTCTGATATAATGTGAGGTGGCTTAGGTGCACACTGTTCTTACACCTAATTTTAGGTTTCTTTCAAAGATGCAACTGTGTGCTGTGACAAAAAGGATGCTCTGGGAACAGATGGTCAGTAACAAGTAAATGTGCTTTGAGCACTTCAAACTTAAATCAAGAAGCCCCCAAAAGAAATGCAAACCAAAAAATACTACCCCTTAAACAAAAACCTATTTTTTTAAAGGGAAAGCCTTGCAGCAAAAAAAAAAGCAGTTTAAATAACAAATAAATAAAAATCCTATAATATTGCCTCCTGAAGCAAAAGCCCAAGTAAAGTCTTGCAGCAAAAAAAGTTTTTAAAAGACAAACAAGTCCCCAATAACTATGAAAAAAAGGGGTTGATTGCCCCAAAAATGTACCAATTAGAATTAAGTTACCTAACTGACCTAATCTCATCCCTACCCAATAACTGATATTTTCTCATAAACAATCAGCGGTAGGGGGATTGACTTTCATGTTCAACCTAAATCACAATGGTAAGGACCAGGTTGATGCTTAATTATGTGTGAGGCAAAAGGATAAGTAAATACATCTTTGGTTCACCACATTCCTCCTAATCCTGTGTTGGTTTAAACTCTTTTGTTTAGCATTGTTCATCTAGTTGTTCCTTTCCTCAGGTGCCTCATACACAGCAGCTTACTTCAACCCAATCTTGGCTTACGCCCTGACATTTGACTGCTCTGGGAAGAGCCTTCAGGAGAACTCTATAGTCTATATTGGTGGATCATTAGTTGGTAAGTAATGATAAAATTAGCAATTGTCATAGAATTCTAGTGATCGGTGGATATAACGTTACTTAACATGGCTTTATTGTGAGCCAATATATGATCATCCCCTTCCTGTCGATGGAAACCAGCTATGTGATTGGCAACCAATCAGTGACAGGATCTGTCCTCGGCCATAGCAGAGGTGGCACTGAGGTAGTGCCCAGTCAGACTCTAGGGTCAGCACTGCAGGACACAGATAAGTATTTGGAAGTTAAGATCAATATTTTAATGGCAGCAGCATGGAGGACCTGTGGACCTACATTTAAGCTTGCCATACACTGTTTGAATTTTGTTTGAACATTAGTTCAAGATCGTTCATCAGAGCATTCGTTTTTGTCATTATTGAGGCAATGATTTGGGTTCGAAAGCTCTTACAAATTTCCCAAATGGAATCTGATGTATTATACAGCTTTCTTTTGTTCCTAGCACATGTGCATTACAATATGTACAATTTTTCCCAAGCAAAAATCACATTCATGGTTAGAATTTAATTTGTTCAGATAAGAAACAAGTGCATGCTTCTAAAAACAATAAGTCTCAAGTTAGCAGAACTTTTCCCAATGGGAACACATACACATACATATACAATATCAATGTTCAGTTCTTTAGCCAAAATGTAAACAAAAACATTTTGGATAGAGTTTATATTATTTACATCTCATATATATATATATAAAGCTTTCGAGAGTGAACCTCTCTTCTTCAGGTCAGAAGCAATACATCAGGTCAGAAGCAATCCCCGCCCCCACATACACATGCAGATATGCGTCGGGTGCACCTACGTGCGAAAACGACGATTGCGCCTATTTTGCCGCCATTGTTACATATCACCGCAAACGTCGGAGTGAGAGCAATAATTTTAGAGCCATTAATCACTGATAACACTAAACTGATGAGCAGTAAAAGCGTTTTAATCGTCGCCTATGGAAATCATATAGTGCAGGCTCATAAGAAGCTTGATTCTTACTCTATGTAAATCCTGTATAATAATCATAATTTGTTTACATTTATGGTACTTTTTTCATTATATAGTAAAAATAACACCCCCTCCCCAGTGGTGATTATGTACCGCCAAAAGAAATCTCTATCTGTCCTCAAATTTTTTTAACATAAATTGCAAGCATATAGTCCGATCATGCTGACTGGTGATACACCATCAAATTTTTCAAGCTCTGTATATATGTATATGTATGTACAGGTGAAACTCAAATAATTAGAATATTGTGCAAAAGTAATTGCAGTAAGTGCTGCAAAAGGGGCCCAAACCAAGTACTGAGTACATGACATAACTATATGTACGATATTCAGATAAAAAAAACCTTTATGGTTTCCATTTTACTCTGCCCATTATTTGTATTCATTTCATGATTACTACAGACAGTAATTATGAAATATACAGAGGCATAGAAGGCAGGGGGGAAGTTATGTTAAAAAATAATCTGCCCCAGGTGTCAACTACACTAGGAATGCTACTGAACTGGAACTAACTCATTATGTTGTTCACAAGAAGGCCTGTGTGCAAAATATATCATCAGCTGTCTATTTTCATTGCTCATCTGCCATAGAACTTTAACAGTTGGAATCTTGGGAAGTCAAGGTCCTAGGCCAGTTATTCTTCCCTGAAGGCTACAGGCACCCAACCTTTGTCCCCCAGACCAGCCGTTCTCTGCTAGGATCAGCCCTTTTACACAAAACATTTTCTTATCTTACCAGTCCTGATCTGGCTCAGAATGTTGTGAGAATGTGTAAATAAACATTGTATTTCTACTGATAGTAAAAAAATACGTAGTTTGATAACTTTACAGTGCAAAGCCCCTCTTTGCCGCCTATGGTGAATCTGGTCTGCAAGGTCCACTATCTGTTCCATGGATGCTGGTTGTTACTAACCGGCCAAATCACCCACCTTTGCCTCTGAATAATAATGATAATACTAGTGGCAGTCACACCAATTGTTATTTTTCCATTCTGCATAAAGGCTTTTAACCTATGTAAGGTTTTTATTGCATGGTGGAATATGGGGCAGTGCAGGGTCCCAGGGCCCCGCACTGCCGACGGGCTTCTCAGCAGGGGGGCAGGGTCCTGTGACTCACCGCTCCGACTCCCGGCCACGTCCCTAGTAACAGGAGGCGTGTGTCACATGCCCCGGGCCCTGCACACCGTCTGGCTGGGTTGCTGTGAGGCTCTGGCCAGGTGAGTCCGGTGAGGATCGGGGGGCCCGGTGAGGATTAGGGGGTTGGGCTGCCATTTCGTTGAATTAGGAAAATGGATTATCATAGGCAACATTAGACTGTAATGTTGCCTATAATAATCTATTTCCTTGATTAAGTGATTACAGACAGGGCCGGTGTTCTAACAAAGTTTGTGACTAGGTTGGAATGTGTGATCGGTCACGTGGTCACACATTTCAATGTAATCCCGCCCAGTGGAATCACTTCCCGTCTTAGTGACAACAGCACAAGAAATAAGTGGTTGTCCGTAGGACAGGAAGACACTGATAGTAATAATAGCCTGATGGGGATTCCAACTCTTTGCCAATAAATTGAAAAGTGTATTTTTGCAGTTTGTGTTCTTGTAGGAGAGATTTTCCATCACTACCTGTCCCCACAGGAAGTGTGGTAAAATGTCACTTGTGGGGTCATAGGTCACCACAAAAAACCTGAAGTGTTCTATCCCTTTCCTACTCTTTGGCTGTAGTTGGGCTTTAATAGAACATGTTCCACTGTTTCTACTTTGTACTATTCTTATCTATGTATCTTGTACCCAGGTATGGTGGTGGCCCTCTTCCTGAACAAAGGAAACATCCCTCGACTTTTCCAGAGGAATCTACTCTACAGCCAGAAGAGCAAATTCAGAACCCCAAAAGTGAAGAATGTTCAGCCTAAAAGTAAAAAATTATCACATCATAAGGGTTCAGAGAAAAAATCTGGAGAGGCAAGGCAGCAGAAAGTGGAGAATGTGACACCAAAAGACAAAAGCAGCTGAACCTGCCCAAGAAAGTTGCTACTGGATTCCTTAACCTGGTAGACAGAAAAACATCCCCGGGCTCTGGAATCTACAGTACGAATGTTCTTTGTTCCACCACTTCTGATGCCTGAGCAAAAGTCTAACCATGGCTCTTTTTCATGTCAGGGACAGCTTGTCAACCAACTATGTTAAAGGGGAGCTGTCATGAGATAATTATGGATGCTGCCATTTACTGACCTCTACTGAAAATGCTAGTTACCTGGAGTGTCTTGTTGATGTATTGGCTTCAATGCCTCCTGAATCACTAAACTGGTTCAAGTATAGAGGCAAAGATTTCTGACACTGATTCTTAGCATTCATGTTTGTCACTCTAAAGCAGTGAATCTCAACCAGTATAACCAAAGGACCCACATTTGTCATTAAGTCTCAAGCCAAGTCGCACCGCACTGGAACTCACGACATTGCTGTACTGCATGTTCTGATCAAACTGTGGGCAGGAGGTGTGTTGAATGGCAATGCCAAAAAATACAAAAAAGGTCACAAGCACTCCAGCATGTAGAAAAGTCAATGTTTATTGACTTCACAGGTGCCACATCATCAGAGCGACATTTCGGAACAGCAAAGTCCCTTCCGCAGGCAAAACAGATAATGATAATTATCTGAGGAAGGGACTTTGCTGTTCCGAAATGTCGCTCTGATGATGTGGCACCTGTGAAGTCAATGAACATTGACTTTTCTACATGCTGGAGTGCTTGTGAAGTTTTTTGTATTTTACACCTATCCTACAATTAGGGTTTTCTATCCAGTCAGGAGTGCGATGGATGTGTATGCTTTTTGAATGGCAACTCAACACACCTCCCACACCAGAATAAACAGTAGGTGCGATTGTGTGGTAGTTTGCTATTAAAACACAGACAGACACACAAAACCAGACACACAAAACCAGACACATTCTCACACACATACACATTCTGAAAAATATTCTAGGTGTTCAGTGTGGGCTGCTGTGCTGTGACGGAGCTCCATCCATATGTGCATTGCTTGTACAGCTCCCTTGCACTCCCTGTAGAGGTGCCAGAAGCCAGAATGTGACATCACTTCAGTCATGTGAAGGAGCTGTAAGCAATGCATATATGGATGGAGCTTCCTCACAACCAAACCCCTAGCCCACCCCATCTCAAGCTCACATTTGACGTCAGGCAGCATTTATTTGAATGGCTACTCAGCACGAGAACAGACTGTGCTGCGCTATGGGGGAGGCTGAGGAGCTTCTCCCCTAGTGCAGTGGAAGGCATGCGGTGACCCACTGAACATGGGGCCGTGACCCACTTTTGGGTCACGACCCACCAGTTAAGAACCACTGCTCTAAAGTATTGAAGCCAGACACAACCTGGCAACTAGCAATTGATAAAACAATTGGGCAGGAATGGCAGCCCCTATACTTTGCTTATCACAGGGTCACTTTAAAGTAGCAAATGTATCCCTACTTGTTATGATCCTCTGCTAATCAGCAATTGTCTCTGTTAACAAGATGCATGCATATTTTATTTTGGAACAAGAAGCTGTAGAAGATATTTTGAGAATAAAACTATTTTTAATAAAAAATAATTCCAGCTGTACTGGTGAGATCTAATTTAGGTTCATATTGCATGTGTTCCCAAATAACTCTAAAGATCAAGTGTTGACTTTTACAAAGACAATGGATGAGCTCTGCATATTTAGAATATATCAATTACTGCCAAGCATTTGGTAGAGCAAGTAAGAGAGATACAGTGTTAAAAGTTTATGTAAATCCTAAATCTATTTTCAGTCATGCCTTACTGTGTACAATTTGCTTAAGAAAATCACTTGTTTGTGAATCTCTTGCAATGTTTCTTACCCGGAGATCCTGCCAGTAACAGCACTTCCTATTGCAGTGCTAAGCTGCTGCCTCACAATTATCAGCAACCTTGTCAGCCTGCGGTGCACAATCTCTCAGATGGATGCTGGGCTGCCTATCACATCTATCACATCTATCAGATAGGCAGCCCAGTGGCCAAATGAAACATGCACCGCAGGCTCCTACCATTGCAACAGGAAGTAAGATTGCAACGGATTCACAAAAACAATTTGCTTAAGACTGTTTACAGTGAGACATGATGCCAAAGATATAAAAAAAATAGATTTAGTGATTACATACGTCTTATAAAGTCACTGTGATATGATCTTGGAGGTAACAATCTATATCTTTAATACATGTAAGTTTTAGGCCAAATGGTAGAATACAAAAACACTTCATGTTCCCTCTGGTGGATTCCTTATATGACTACATAAATTACCAAATATGTAATAGGTTGAAAAGCTTAGTTTGAATCTGGAAAATATTCTTGACTATATATGAGGTCTCAGTATAAACCCAGTAAAGATTCAAACCATTATCAATCGTACCCAAAATGGAGAAACATTGTCAGTAGGGGAGCTTTTTAACTGGATGTGCTAAACCTACATGGAGAGATATGCAGATGCTGCCATCCTGATCATCTTCTAAAAATCTTAGTTACTTGGCTGTCTCCAGCTTCAGAATCCAGCTTCTCCCTGGCCATAAACAAGCATGCTTCTCAGGAAACAGTGATGTGAAAAGACCCCTAATATGGGTAAGTATTCTGAAGCCACTAATTCATCTTGAATTGATGTAAGTGTAGCCACCATCACCTTCTGTGATGTGACTACTAGACATTTAGTGATAGCCAGGGCTGTAGTCAGCCTGGCTGGATTATAGTGGCAGTTATCTGGCTAATTCCAGGTGTGGGGCATTGACTGTACCCCCCTGGGCGGAGTGTGACTCTGTCATAGTGTGGGACAGCCAATGAGAGATGCTATAGAGTATGTACAGTACAGCACCCAATCACTGGGTTTCTCTTTTAACCAGTGGTGCATGCTGGGACATATACATATGTACATATAATGGAGGGATTTTCCATGTGCTCAGACTAGCCAGGACCAGACATGGATTAGGGCTGGGTGCTGTTCATTGATTCTGAGGAAGGGGGCTTGCCCCTGAAACGTGTCAATCTTGGCTGACTGCGGTCCGTGGACGGTGATGTGACCGGAGACTACCGTGTTACATGGTCGGGGATATACCATGTTGGGTTAACAGACAGTGTGGCCTCTCATTTGTTGTTAAAGCCTGATGAAAACGTTTGTTTGTGAGTACTTTTATCCCTTGTTTTATTTGATGTAATAAACGACTTTACACACGGAGGTGGCGCTCTGTTCCCTTTTGTTTTCTATATTCGTGGAGGAAGCCCCAGAGCCTTGGATGAGCAGCCCCTCAAGTCTGTGTAAAAAACTGTTGAAAACTTTGAGTGTGCAACAGCAAGTGGATTGTTCAGCTGGCAGCCATTAGCGCCAAGAGCGAAAGAAAACTTTTTGTCTGGGTGCTGTTCAGCCTGCCCCCCAAACTAGGCCTGAGGCCGGGCATAGGCTGGTGTGAGGGAAATGTTTCCTTTAGGCCTCCAACATGGAGGAGATCTGTGTTGCTGGAAAGGAAGAGACCCACGACCAATGATGGCTCTTAAAGTTTCCTGGAATCTAAGGACCTGTTTGTTCATGTTTAATATAACATAGCAGCATTATGTGATATACTCCAGATGTGTTTCCAGTAAATTGTGGAACACTGTCAGATGGAGCCTAAAATGGCTGAATACAGAAATTATTAACATCATCATATACCTGAATAGTCATTTTTTTAAGTTTGTGAAAATTTGTATAGGAGCTTTTCTTTACTGCCTGTGTAAATCTCAGGTATACCTTAGACTTGCTGTGAAATCAATCTAATTAAAAACAGAGCCAATTTATCCTTCTTGAAGTGGGAGGGGCACTTGGGCATCTCTTACTTTCCATCGTAATGGATACTGTGGGAGTTATCTCAAAAGATAGTTCTGAGATGGTATCTAACTCTGTACCACATAGTTAAATTCTCATCTTATGACCATTGATGGAGGGAGTGTGGGCAGATAGGGAATCTATTACATACTCTATGGTACTGTACAAGTCTACCTAGTATGTGGAAAAAAAAGTATTCCAAGTTATCTACAAAGTGACAGGGATTCTGATATACCATACCCTTGGCCTTGCTCTGTTAAATTTGGGAAATGAGAGCATACCCTAACAATTTTAGTTCAATAGGTGTTTATTGAGATTTTCACAAACAAACAGATATACAGATATCAAACATATCACCCCAAGAGGGCAACTAGCACATACCGTCACGAATATGCATGAAAAGAACAAGTCTCTCAACTCATCAGGTTATAGCATTACATCCAGATGTAGGAGCTCCGTCATCTATGCCTTTGGTTCAGCAAATGCACAAGGGACTAGGTCCTACTCCAGGAGCATCACATTTATTTTGCCTCTCAGGTGGAAGCAGTCTCAATAAACAACAGCCAGCAGAGGTAGAGTAGCTGAAACCAACCATCCCATAGTACTGTAATATCATTAATATGTAAGCCATACCACCGCGCTAATTCGTGCCATGAAAAACAGAACGTTCCCTACAAGAGGGAGGCAGAAGCCTACGTAGAGACAAAGAGAGTAGCAGAGATTCACAGATAAAGAAGTACAGAGAATGGACGAGGACAAAAGGAAAAGGAGGAATAAAATTACAGCTTTTTCATAAAGCCCCTCATTCTACTGTTTTCAGAAAAAGAAATGAGGCCTTTAAAGAAGAAAAAAACAGTCCCTACAGTCAAACATGGTGGAGGTTCACTGATGTTTTGGGGTTGCTTTGCTGTTTCAGGCACTGGATGTCTTGACATTATGAAATACTAGAAAAAGGCTTAGTATTCCCCAAGGAGGGGATCCCACCATTCCTTCAAAACAATGTAACAAATAATTATAAAAATATATTCATTTATAGAAATATTAAAACATGTATAACAAAACATATTCAAACTAAATCAAAAAACAAACAAACACATGTATGTGGCTGCTTTCAGCTAATAATTTCTAAACAATGTGTTGTAGAAAAACAGTATAGAGACACACCGTGTGAATGTCAGGAGCGACATATATACTGTATATATTTTTTGATTTATTTTAGGAGTCTCCACATGGATGGGGGAGAGTGGCCCATGTTTGTAAAAAAGGGCGAGAAGACGACAGAGCTCTGTTTTTTAGAAATCGGCATACATATGTATGAAAAAAGGAAAACAAAGGAACAAAAATAGGTCAATATCAAGATGTAAAAATAGAATTCAACTCACGGTGGAGTGTGTCCTCATATAGGAAAACGATTTTGAAGAGGAAAAATTATGTTCCCGCTGTTGTAACGACATCCAGTGGACGATAAACAGGGGATTCAGGAGATATAGCTGTATCTCAGCTTTTTACGCTAGTTGTTCTAGATCGTTGCCTTAACTGAATTCCCGTATTCGTTCCGTAGGTTTTCTTTTTTCTTTTTTTTCAAGATGATTGAGGAAGAAAAGAAATCCGCGATAAAGCAGGACAGAGGAAAACAAATTTTATCTTGAAAAAACGATCTTGTGCTGCAAAGTTATATGCATATCAAAATGAAATATCGTATAGCCATAAAAATAAAGTTCATGTATAGCAAAGCATATATATTTGTTGTATAGGTTTCTCATGTGTATTCTTTCAGGGTGGCATGGAGGACATTGAGGTGGTAGAAAGGAGGATATTTATATAAGTGCAATTTATATTATCATTTATTCTTGTACTATGATTCCTTACATTGTAACTTCAGAAAAACAAAACAAATAAAAAGATGCACAAATGGTTATATGCATATAACTTTGCAGCACAAGCTGTAACACTGAACAGTTTTCCGTTTGAAAGAAATCTGCCCACTGGGGACACAATCAGAAACATGATGCGCTTTCAATGTGTTTCATGTGTTATCAATTAAATCAATTACAAATTTATATATCTAGAAGTGAGAACTAAAAAACCTTCACTGAACAACGCCCTTCTGATGAAGCCCCGGTGTGGTAGGGGGTGAAACGCGTCATAGGCGTTCAGTGAAGGTTTTCCTTGTGTGGCTGCTTCGGCTGAGGCCCGCTTGTGTGTTTTTGCCTGGAACATTTATCAGAAAGCAATTGGAGTCCACTACTTTAACAAGAACCTGCTTGCTTAAAGTCTCCTGTGGAGAAGGGGAGAGAAAAGGAAACTTTACTTTTCAGTGAAGGCTTATATTCATTACAAACAGAAAAGCTGAGAGTGCTATCTCCTGAAACCTGCATAGCTACTACCAAGCTTGCATTACATGCTGGACAGCAATGTCTCTCTAAGATCTCTAGATTCTCTCAAACCAAAGGAACAAGGACATCCAGTCATTTTGCATCGTTTTTACAAGATAACATTTGTTTTCCTCTGTCCTGCTTTATCGCGGATTTCTTTTCTTCCTCAATCATCTTGAAAAAAAGATAAATTAAAACCTACGGAACGAATACGGGAATTCAGTTAAGACAACGATCTAGAACAACTAGCGTAAAAAGCTGAGATACAGCTATATCTCCTGAATCCCCTGTTTATCGTCCACTGGATGTCGTTACAACAGCGGGAACATAATTTTTCCTCTTCAAAATCGTTTTCCTATATGAGGACACACTCCACCGTGAGTTGAATTCTATTTTTACATCTTGATATTGACCTATTTTTGTTCCTTTGTTTTCCTTTTTTCATACATATGTATGCCGATTTCTAAAAAACAGAGCTCTGTCGTCTTCTCACCCTTTTTTACAAACATGGGCCGCTCTCCCCATCCATGTGGAGACTCCTAAAATAAATCAAAAAATATATATATATGTTTACTCCTGACATCGGGTTTCTTTCTCTACCCGAGAACAGAAGGCATTCACACGGTGTGTCTCTATACTGTTTTTCTACAACACATTGTTTAGAAATTATTAGCTGAAAGCAGCCACATACATGTGTTTGTTTTTTTATATAGTTTGAATAGGTTTTGTTATACATGTTTTAATATTTCTATAAATAAATATATATTTTTATAATTATTTGTTACATTGTTTTGAAGGAATGGTGGGATCCCCTCCTTGGGGAATATTAAACCTTTTTCTAAACATTTGAATAGCAAAATATTCACAAATATTTAGACCCTTTATTTATTTTGAACCTTCCTTTAGAATTACAGAAGCCTGCTTACTGGAAGTATACCTTTTGAGTTGTCAAAGTTAACCCTTCACTGACATTGCTGGGATTACTATTATTTGCCAGTGCATTGTTGCTGGCCTGAGGTCTGCAGTGCATTGTTGCTGGCCTGAGGTCTGCAGTGCATTGTTGCTGGCCTGAGGTCTGCAGGGCATTGTTGCTGGCCTGACCTCTGCAGGGCATTGTTGCTGGCCTGACCTCTGCAGGGCATTGTTGCTGGCCTGAGGTCTGCAGGGCATTGTT